GAAGGCAGTGGCTTAACGGACTGAGCCACCCAGGCGCCCCCTCTGTTCTTTTGAACAGGTAAACTTTTGCCGTACATGTGCAGTTGTTCATAGGCTGTACGTGGAGCTAGAGGAACATCTGCGTTATGTATATGATAATGTTCTTATTCCAATAAATCATGGAAGCATCATTTACTTTCAGCTTGGCTTGTAATAGATCAAAGTCTTGAAGTCAGAGGTTATTTTTTAGTTCCTTAATAAAATAAAGTTGTTATGGTTCACATAGTTCTTAAAATAATTGGAAGCTGGCTAATTATGAGGTCCCAAGTCGAGGTGCTAGCTGTCTGCTCTCCTGCATGGGTTTCACAGATGACCGTGTTCAGCATATTCACTGTTTGGTTTTAGACATAGACCCTGCTCACATGGTTTGGAACATGTTTGGAAACAGTTTATATAATTGGTCTAGCATATTCCCTATGATCTGTGTCCACATGGCTGGAGAGGTAGGTAGAATGGGCAGGGACTTCCGGGTATCCTTTGAACAATGTCATTAACCCCCCTTCCTTTCCCACCAAAAATGCTCTGCAGTTTTCTTCCTCCTGCCAGTGTGGTTCTGTTAGGGATCGTTCCTTCATTTACTCGAGTTTTATCGTCCCCAGTCATCTTTCGTGCTGAAAATGTCTCGGAGAGGGTCTTAGTTCACAAGAATCCATCATGTACACTTTAGTAAGAGTCCATAAAGGGACAAAGGAATGGCATTTGTAAGGAAGAAAGGTGGTTCTTTCTCTTTACTTTGCGATCTAAGCCCTCTGCCTTGCAGCTGTCATTCTGGGTCCCCAACGTCCTTCTAGCACTCGACTCAATACCCACTAAGACGCCTTACCTCAGGAGGAAGCGATATAAAGACTGACAAAATGGAACAGGGACAAGAGAGAAATGCAATTAACCTTTCATTTATTTATTATTGGTGGTTGAGGCCAATAGTGACTTGAAACCTGTAATTAAGGCAACATTACACAAATTTCATGACGGTGAAATCCACGAAAATTTAAAACGGAAACAAAGTGGACTTTGGGTGGTTCAGTGTCCTGAGTCTCGGTCTCAGGGGAATCATAGTAGAATATAGTTGTGAAATGGCTCTCCTCCCTTAACCCCAGAGTGCTGAGTGTACCCCCGTATCCAGAGGCAGCCCTAGGGCAGAGACAGAGTAGGAAGGGAATTCCAAATGGACCCTTTGTGAGTACCCCCAATCTATCTGTCCACCAGAGACTTGGAGCCTAAGGGGCAGGCTGAAAGAGTTCCAGAAATCTGCAGCGCACTGAAGCTCCCTCCAGGAGCATTTGCAGGGGTCTGGTACCCTGCTTGCTTCTTCAGGGGTTGAGACACCGCTTTATCTTCCATCATGAAGGTACCGTGACTACCTAGGTACTTCATCAAGCTGTCCTGAGCAGCAATAAGTCTAAAAGGAAGTGCCCCATCTCATGGGACCAGGTGTGAAAAGGACAGAGATCAATCAAAACGCACTCAATGAAATAAAGTAAAATGAATGCCTGTTATGATCTCAAACTATTGAATGACCTGAGGAAATGGTCACGACTGAACAGTAAGGGGGAAAAAAAAAGTCTACTGAACCAGTCAAAACCTAACGAGGGCATCAATACCTCTTGATCTTACTACAGTTAATCACCAAGTCCGTACTACAAGGACCCGGACTTGGCGTTTCTGTTTGTGTGCGGGGGAACATGGTGATGAAGAGTGTGGTTAAGAGAAGCCACTTTGGCTGGATTCAGTGGTGCTGACCTGGACCCAAAGCTCCTTACCTTCCCTTGGCCCCTTTTGGTCCTCCTGCTGGTTACCCCACCGTCCCCCACTCAACCCGAGTGCTCCTCACGCCTGCACTCTGACTGGTCCCTCATAGACAGTCACCAAATTCCGTTCTGCCTGGTTCTCACTTCAGTGGGTCCCCTCTTCTCCCGCCCCGAGTCACCAACCCCAATTCCAGTCGCCTGCCCTCCTTAGCCCTGGGATGGCAGACGCCCTGCCACCAGGGCCCAGCTGATTCTGGAACCTTTTTTTCTCTTCCTGCTGTTGGTGCTTCTCTATGTCCGACGGCAGCTGAGAGCCTGTTGTCAGATGACCAAAGCGGGAACATTTAGACTTTCAGCACCCCTTTGGACCTACAGATACAGTAAGCCTCTTAATTTAGACCTTGAGGTAAAGACTGCAGTAAAACCTATCTTGCAATCTGAGTAGAAGACTGCCTATTTACTTACACTTGAAGCAAACACGGTCTTGGTAAGATCATTAGGATAGATTCCTAAAATTAATATATAGATCAAAGTCCATATAACATATTAACCATTTTGACCTGCCAAAAATCTCACTCCAGAAAGATTATTTGCAAATTATGTTCTCACTAGTAAGGTGAAGGAATGTGTCTTTGCCTCTGTCGTTATTAAATTTTTAATTTTCACGTAAGATGCCGTATCCCAACAATAGATAGTCTTTCCCACAGCACAATGCTCTTTTGTCCTGCTTCGCCTCTGTCACCAAAAAGATGAGGCTTTTATTTTTTTATTTTTTAAAAATATTTTATTTACTTATTTGAGAGAGAGTGTGTGCGAATGAGAGTGTGAGAGAGAGCACGAGCAGGGGAGCAGCAGAGGGAGAAGCGGACTCCCCACCAAGCAGGGAGCCTGATGTGCCCCAAGATGAGGCTTTTAGAAAATAGTTACTTTCTCCCTCTCTTATCCTCTCCTCTACCATAATCAAGACCATTGGAACCCTTAGCCTTCCACTTTCCAACCCCACTCTCGTCCCCCCTGTGATGGGGCTGGTGGAGACACTGGAAAGTACAGGAATGATTCAGCTAGGAATTTTTGTCATTTTTAGGTCTCTATAAGGAGCAACATTTAACTTATAATGTGAAAGCCTATCAATCCATTTTCAGATATTGGATGTTAAATGACATTTTAGGGATGAAGACAATGGTGAAGTTAAATTTAGACCTTTTGAAAATCCAGGGAGGTCTACAAACACTGAGGTGTTCCCATCTGCCCAAAAGAGAAATACAAGTAATAAGGATAATCTGTGTCCTAAGATAGCCAACCGAGCCGGAAAGAGAGTCCCAGTCCCTGCCCCGGGGCTCTTCCGGGTTCTTCTCCCTGCCCTGCTTCGCGCACGCGCCAAGAATGCCCAGTTTGCGGAAGTAGATGTGTATAAATTACTCCCTTTGGGCTCAGGGCTCAGACCTTTGGAGACCACTCTCCTCTGAGCCCGCCGCGCATGTTAAATAAACCTCCTATCGTCCAAGGTCTCCGGGTGCCGCTTGGTTCTTCCGTCGGGCGATCCAGTCCAGGTTCCGTAACACAAGGACGTTCAAGTAATGAGTTAGCACAGTTGCCAAGTACAATGCTGAATGAAAAGAAAGAACACCTGCCCATAAGATATTGAGAGAAGATAAAAGGATCAAACAAAACTTCATATGTAACCACCCACAAATTCGGAGCCCGCATTCACATTCACCAAGAAATCCTAAACCGGGGTTTAGTCTAAAGTGATTCTGAACTGGTTCTGTAGAGACTATAAGGTTAAG